CAGTATATTTTTGGTCTGTCAAATTGAAACCTAACATTTCCCACTAACCAAAAGCAATTCAAGTTGTTTTGCACCCTGTTCATACAAAAGACAAATGGACATTAAACAACTGTAATAATAGATGTTTAACCTATCAATACATTTACAAGAAACAATATTATGTTAATCAACTGAGTTTGCTGTTTCATATAAACATGTTATGGTGTTTAGCCCAAAATAAACCAGAAATAGCAGGAACAAAAATACCCAAGATAGAAGGATGCCATAGAAAGAAATTGTGTAGTTTTGAAAATGAGATGTGTATGCAGGAATCAAATTTTATAACTCCATATGGTTTAGATATATAAAATTAATAGTATAAAAAATATTAAACCATTTAAATTCCATTCATAAAACACACCAGTGAATTTCAAAATCTGCTAATCGATTGATTACTAATTCTATATTTACTAAAACTTATGAGCTATAGCACAACATCATGCTAACCTTGACATTTAATTTTGTAATATTTCACACAGATTTTTTTCAATTATAGGAAACTTTCACTACATGGTACAAGTTTCATTCTTAAAACATAGAGCTTTTACAGTTATACAAATACACGTATATACACTTGAAATTAGTGTTTGGTATTCACTGAAAACATCTCACTTTTACTGATCATAAAAAATATACTGAGGTTACATGAAGTAACAAAAACTTGTACCATAATCAACTTAGTATCGTAATTCTGAGATACTTCAGCTTTCATTAATCAAACTACTAAGTAGTAACATTTGTTATGTAATAGAGCTTTATTTGCATTTGGGTAATTTTTCCTGTTCCTGCCATCTTTATACTCTGTTATTCCAAAAGTGCTTTAGGCTGTTCGGCTTGAACTAGCACTCATCTTTGTATCGACCATGATAAAAATATATTAAGCTTAATTGAAATAAAAAACAAAATGATCATGACTAGCTGAATACTACAGTTCTGAGTTATATATGATACTTTAATAAACCAGCAACTTCAAACAGTGATTAAATCATTCAAACATTTGGCCGTAAAGACTCCAATGTTTTAAAAGCACAGTATACTGTTCAGTAGTCAAGGTAGGAGTTGCATAAGCTCTCATCTGATAGGCCATCAATAAAGAATGTAACCAAATTATTTTTTGTACTGCATAATATTTTTAGGAGAGATGTTTGAATGATGCAAATTTTTGTTCATACAATACATCAGGATAGCCCTATAAAAACACAGATGTAGTCTGCAAGACAACTGGCAAAAGTTCAAAATCTGAAGCTCCAACTTTCAAAAAACACATGATAGTGGATGCTCATCTAGCAGAAATGTCATTATTAAAGACTTTTCTTGAAGGAAGGGAATACATATGTGATACAGAAAACTGTGGCCCCAGCAAAGAACAAGGAAAATGACAAATGGATAGGCTTGTACTAAAATTCAAGAGTCATTAGACTGTGTCCCAATTAATTAATTATTTTAACATTGGTAGGGATTTAAAACTGTTTCCAATAATACCATGCAAGGTATATAACAAAAAGCAGTACTGTATAGCAGCCAAAAACCAGTACAAAAGATTAGCTGATCACGAAAGAAAACAAGAAATAATGGGCTCTCTGGAGCCTAAAACTGAAAACTATAAGCAACAAATGACTGGAAGAATATGACATGGTCCAATGTGTCATGTTTAACTTTTTTTTTTCATATGGGTAGCAAACTAAAACATAGAAATACAAAAACAGGACCACTTGACCCTACTTGTATTGTTTTGACAGTACAAACCACTGCAAGTGTGTGTATTGTGCTGGATCCTTAGATAAGACCAAATATCACCCAAAATGTATCTAAATACTGTGGATGACAAGTCCACTCAACATTAATTCATTTCTACCCTTATGGAGAAAGTAGAAAATGCACAATATACATATTGCCAGAATTGGTTCAAAGACTATGACAGTGATTTCATCCAATCCAAGTGAGCATCTTTGGAATGAACTTAAAAATAAATTTACCCCATAATCCTTTACTTACATCCTTTAACTAAAGCTGAATTTTGTTACCAGTACTACACTGTAAGTTTGTCCAAAAAAATGTTTGTTTCAAGTGGCATAAAAATGATAAGGAATTATAATACTGTCTGAAAGACTTCACAACTTTGTAACAAACTTCCTCTGATATGTACAAATAGACAAGAAAATAAAATTGTAACACACAAGTCAAGACTATATTAAACTGCATGTACAAGTATAAAAAAACTGAATTTAAAAGGAAAACAAGTGTTAAATAACATTATCAAAAGATTATTTGATGCAAGTACTTCCTATTATTTAGCTATAGATCCTTGTGCCAAAGCTATACATACATCTTTAATGAAAATACAGTAATGTAAAATAATAATGAAAAATAAAATTCTACATTTAGGATAAGTTATAAAGGCAAGTATTTGCCAGTGTTTAGCTACAGATCATTGTGCCATAAATACACACATCTTTCCTGAAATTGCAGTTTTGCAAAAATATAATGTAAATTGTACTTCTACATTTATGATAGCTATTTATATTTATTTTGCAAGCAGGATATCCTACAATAAATGGTTAGGAATTAATCACACTATCATTTCAAAATGTGACGTAACTTAAAGAATAAAAATGTAGATTTATCATATGTTAAAATTGAGTGGCTCTCAGCATGACTGAAATCTTCAACAATTACTTTTCGCAGCAGGTGGTATAAGTAGCTCAGAGCTTTGGCTCTGAGTGAAATCGAGAGTGCAACACAATTAACCATTTTAAAGTCCAAGAGATAATTTAAATCAATAGATTAACTTTAAATTTTCCAGTCAATGGGGATGAGTACTTTTGCTTGTTCTCAGATAATGCAGACAAGGTTTTATTCAGGGTTTTAAAGGTTTTAGATCAGATATGTGAACCTTTTATTTTTTGAAGATTGAGATGCTATTTTTCAAATGGGATGGGAAGGAGTTCCTCTCAAAAGTATGTTATTTAGTCTACTTCTCTCATGAGAAAAATTCCAGAACATCTCATTAAATAAGTTTTATAGTTATCCTTTTTCTGAGCATGTTAATTGTTAGCTGGATTATCGAAAGGGTATGTACTTATACTTAGGTTTTTAAAAACTTTTGATAAGGTGTCACAAAAGATTAGCAAAGAAAAACACATTAAGATATAGGAAAGATAGTTAAATAAACCCGAAAAGTTGACAGCTGTAAAATAAAAAAGCAAAATACTGTCAAACTGGACACTTGTTACCTGTAAAGAGCCTCAGGGAAAAGTCTTTTTTCTTCTCATTTACATTAATGATACTAATAGAGATATTACACATAAGTTAGTATTGCCAATAGTTAGTGTTTGTGTTATGTAAGGTATACTCTGTTTCTCTATTTGTACTTTTGTTAACAGTTTTGGTTAAAACATTTAATACATTTAATACATTTATTTTTACTTTTTCCAGTTTTATATTTTATTATTATGCTTATATTATACAGATCATTTTGCACTGTTAGATCAATATATGTATTTAGGCCTAAACTAAATCTCCTAAGCTGGCTGATCCTTGAAAGATATTTGTGACGAGAGCCAAAAATACCCTTAACAATAAGGGTACCCAACTGATGAAACAATGCATTCTAATCTTTACAAGTAAGAATGTATATTTAATAAGCTAAACTCACTACCAGATCAAATTGTGGTTTTGCTCTAGGTAGAAAGCTGGCTCTGATTAGAAGTTAACATTAATAAGAATCTTGACATAGAGGAAGAAAAGTCATTTCAGCCATCGAGGTATTGCTCTGTTGATAGTAGCAATACTAATAGAACTTTAAGGGGGTATTAACAGATATATTAATTGCATGCCAAAAAAAAAATTAACCTGTATACAAATCACTAGTTAGGCCTCACTTGGAATACTGTTTATAGCTTTGGCCTATTTATCCAAGAAAGGATATTAATTTGTTGGAAAGGGTTTAAACTACAGGAGGGCTATAGAACAATAACACTGACAAAATATTTATCTAATATAGACAGATGAAGATCTCTTATTTTCACTTGAGAAAAGAAGAGTAAGAAGTGATCTTAATGAAGTTTACATGATTATTGGGGGGAATCAACAAGATAAAGAACTCCAACTTTTTTGTGCTACATTCTGAAGATAGCAAAATGAGAGGACACAAGTTTAAGATTTTGAAAAGACAAGACTAAACTCCAAATATTATAGTTGTATTTTTTAACATGGTGATTGACTTATGGCATAACTTGCTGTCAGAAGTAATGGAGGTCAGCATTTTACAATTACAAAAGTCTATGAGGAAACTATAATTTCCTGAAAAATGAAGAACTGATATTTTTACTTTACTTAATTATGTGGGTACAAGGAGTCTTGGAATTTGAAGAACCAAATGTTCTCTTGTTGTCTGCATGCTATAATAAATTCCAATCTCACATAGCATTAGCAGTTAATTTTTTAAAAATTTATCAAAGCATAGAAATAGCATATTATTAACCTTTTATTCAATAACCAAATTTCAACAATGACAAAAAATTAATCTCTAACTTCAAAACACAAATCACTCAAACTTCAAACAAGGAATTTAATACAATTTTATGCAAAAATTAGGTCTAGAAGTTTTCGTACCAACACTAAGTAAAACTAACAATAACATCAAGTCAGTTATCCTCATTCAAGCATACAAATTTTCACTTTCAGTTCAAATTCGACAATACTAAGTCAGTATTACATACAGTAATTCTAAACTCTAAGAAATCACGAGTGAAATTCACTGAAAGCAAAGCAGAGTATGTTCATTCAAATCATAGGTCTTAATTGTATCGTTAGTGTTAGGTGCCTAACGTACGGTATAATTCCTGCTATATACATCGCTAACCGAGCCAGAGCAGTATTGTCACAATCTGGGCACAGTATGAACATTTTAATCATATTACTTGTATTTATTCTGAGATACAAATGTTTAATATACTTACAGGTAATACAGGGCTAATTTCAGCGTAACATTTGTGACAAAAGAATCTTGAACTCCCATTTTCTACTGCCGCTTCCGCCATAATGTCCACTACCTTAGTTTTAGGCTTACAATAAGCCTAAAAGTTTTTTGGAGTTTCAGCAGATGCCACTAGGTAACACGGAGTGTTTTCGACAGACAAAATATTGAATTGAGGTTGTGTATTTATTAACTTATTTTAATGCAGTCATTTTCTCTGGAAATGTAAACTTTTCAAAGAGTATATTTTTTTTGTAATTTTTTTTTTGAGAAAAGGGGAACAACAAACAAATGTTGTCAAAATTATTACATATTATTGTGAAATATGGGTGTCATCTGCTATTACGTAAAAGTTATGCTTAAATAAATATTGATTTCTTGTTAAATACTAAATGTTGATAAAACACACGGTGTTAGAAAGTGCACAGAATTTTGAGTATTGGAATATGAGGTTTATCTGTTGTTCAAACATTATTTATTTAATAGTTGCCGCTGCTTACTGACATGAAAGCTCTTTAACTTCCAGTGAACCATTTCGTTAAACCAAACTGCGATAAGTTTTGCAAGCCAGGTAAACGATTTGTTGTTTCTTTATTCCTGAAAAACAATTTTTCAAAAGTATATTTCTATAGCATTTAGATTAACCTCAAAGGTAGCGGCAGAAGTGTTGGTTGACCCCGGTATTTATTTATTTTTCATTTGTTAAATAGCCTTTAATATACTAGCAATGAGGATATTATACATTCTTTTTGTTATTTAAGAAAACTCTAGATGAATATTTCTTAAATATGAAAACTGAAAAGATGGAACTCTATAACTTTTGCATAATGTACGATTTGAGTTCTGCGAGTGCTGCGCAAATATTTTTATCATTCGCTAGCTAATGCGGTCAAATGTTTCAAGACTCATTGATCTTTATTACATAACACAATATCGCTTAATGTTTCTTATAGTGCAAAGCTATACAACGAGATTTCTGTGCTTGTCCAGCATGTGGGATTAAACCCCCAGATTTTAGCGTTGTAAGTTCTTAAATTTACTGCTGACCCAGTGGGGGACTAGATACCCAACGGCATTTATTTTGTTACAGATAATTTTTTCTAAATGTTGTTTTGGATTATATATATATATATAATTTACGGGTCATCAGTAATTGAACTCCAGATTTAAAATTGGTTGTTTGTTTCAGAAATTTCACGCAAGCCTATATAAAGAACTGTTTACTTATATCCGTCCCTCATTTTGAACTGATAGATCAAAAGAAAGACAGTTAGTCAATGCAACACACCTCCAGCTCTTAAGATACTCTTATCTGACCAAAGAGGGGGGTTGACCGTTACTCCTATAGCGCACCTATGTATCCAATTGAGGAGGGTGTTTTGTGTGTAAGACTTTTTGGATCCACAGTTTGAACACACTGACCATTAGGCCATACACAGTCTATCCAGATTTCTAATAATTATTATCAGAGCCCTAATGAAAAAGCACAACAGATGTTTTCTACCTCATTATTTAACTCTAAGTTCCAATAATTATTTTCTCAGAAATTTTATGTATGTACGTAGGTTCAATTATAGCACGTTGGTCATAGAATTGGCTCAATTACTTTCGCCCTAGTTCATGGGTGTCCTCAAGAAGGGCAAGAGAGCACTTGCTCCCCCTGGATTATCAATTTTACGCTTTCCTAGTTATGGCTTTGATGTAATTTTGTCATCTTCCTCCCCTCTACAATATATCCTGCGGACGCCCATGCACTGGTTACCTATTGTTCTGGGTGATTCGCCTATAGTTCCACATTCACCTTCTCGCGCAAAAAATAAGAAGAAATAGAATATACTATGTGAATGTAGACAGCGATCTTTTTCACTGACGGGTTAGGTGATAAGTTAAGAATACATCGACTTTTATAATTTTCGATGGGACTGATCAACAGTGACGTATTTAACACACATTTCTTGGGAAGAATAGTATTACACACGCTAAACAATCTTACACTATGTCCAGTCTCTTTCATTCTTTAAAGCTCAGTCAGAGCTGGAGAATACAGTTTAATTCTGAATACCATATTCTATCAAACCTCTTATTATTCTGTGAAGCTTGCTCGATTATTCTGGGAGAAATCAGTTTATCAGACAATAACATAATATTTAGGTACAAAGATGTCCAGCAGAAAGTTATAACTACCCACAATAAATTGTAGATTCAGAAACTGGAGAGCAAAACTAATTTCGAACACAAACAGCAAAATGAGAAATCAAACAGGAACGAATTAATAAACAAAAGTCTTTATTCATACAAATCATAGAAGCTTTGCCTTTACTAGATAGCCTCGATGTTTATTATATACAACTTTTCTGGTTGATGAAGATGGAGAAAGCTCTCTGCACGAAATGAACACAGGGCCAGGAATCAAAATGATACTACATGCACTTTTTAATCAAAATCCTAATGCGGTCAACGGTTAAAGGAGATAAACCTCTAGTTTGGTTTGGTTAGTTTAGAAGTTTACATAAAGCTACATGAGGGCTATCTGCACTAGCCATCCCTAATTTATCAATGAAAGACTAGAGGGAAGGCAGCTAGTCATCCCCACCCACCGCCATTTCTTGGACAACTCTTTTACCAATGAATAGTAGTATTGACCGTCACATTATAACACCTCCACGGCTGAAAGGACGAGCATGTTTGGTGGGACAAGGATTCGAACTCGCGACCCGCGGATTGCGAGTCGAGCACCCTAACCACCTGGACAAACCTCTTACTCATAATAGCATGTACAAGGTAATGTACCATCCCTTGATATGAGTATGACCTTACTCTAGGAGGGCATGACATAGAAACAGGGTCAAGAATTTATAAGCTTAATTAAACAATAGATTGTTGTATTTAATCTTTGTCTAAGCTAGAGGATAAGCGCAAGTTTATGGCCTTTCACATACTGTTTACAATATCGCCAATTAAGTATAACATGAATATCTGTACGAAAATTTTGACAAGTTTATCCAAACATATCTAAATAAAGAGATATCCCATATTAGTTATGTAAGACTAAAAATTAGCAATTCATATAATCACGACATTGCAAAGAAAATATTTATGCAAGATGAGATCCTTCATACTCTCCAATTAGTAGGTATAACCATAAAGATTATACGACGATCTCTGTTTGTTTCGTTATATTGACATCTTCAATAACAAATAAGGGTGATTGTTTGTAGCCTTCAAGTGACCACAACAAGTTAGCTAATTTTTGAAAAGTCACTGAAATTATGTTATAAGAGAAATTTTGTACATAAATGACGGAGTTCATAAATACTTAATTATATAGTAAAAGAAGCTTCCGGAAATTTATTTATCTGATCAACCGTTCATATTTCACCTATCAATCACATAAAAGCTTATTAACGAAAGTGACCATATCTTGTAAACCAAATCCAGGGACTCTTGTATATAAAAATGTATACCCATTAGATTGACCTTAATTCCAAATGCAGGCAGTACTGGAAAATCTTGCTGTAGTAGCGCTAATTTCATTTGTTTCTGATGAGTGTATCTGGTTTGGTACATTATTGTTCTAGAAAGAACAGGAAAATATTCTATGACATGTCCCAGGTCATAGCTATGGAGACTGCACCAATATCGGCACATGAGACAATGAAAGACCTGAGATAATGATAATAACTGTCTAAACATTTATTTCTAACGTATTGCTGTTGCAGACCTCATAATGAATATAAGAAAGGAAAGAGTATTTTGGGACTTTTTTTCAAACTGGGGACAACATTCCTCATATGGGGATTGTCCCAGGAAATTGAGATCTTCCCATGAATGGTTTAACTGGATATTTCATGAGGTCTGAAACAACAGTCGAGTTAAATTATAAGATACAGCACTCTTTCCTTTCTATACACATATCCATTGGTTGAGTGTTTGAGGTTTCCACATTTTGTGCTTATCAAGTAAATAAAGTGTTTGCTTTATTGTAAAACTCTGTTGTCCAATCTTTTCATCTAATTCGGTCAGTGTTACAATTTAGAAATTAAATTCTACTATACATTTTCTGCAGAGCTTTTAATTAAAACATTTACTATACTTATATATATTCTTTATCTCTTAACTTAGAAAGATAAGCCATTTGATTTAACAGAAATATTCAAATGTTTTGGGAAATAAAACTTTTAGATGGCCTAAAGACTTTCATACAGGAAATCCATCTTGTGCAGTACCAATCATATTTCATGCACATTTCACATGTGTCCCAGTTTTGTATTTATCAAGTGTGACATTAATGGAAACTTATGTTAGAATCTTATATCTGCATTCCTAGTAACACTGCTGTGTTTAAGTTTATAAATACCCAAAAGTTAAGTTTTCCCTTCCTTAATTTGGGACAACAAATGGCATGGATACATTTTATGCTCTGAGAGAGAAAAAGATGAACTTTTTTTGCTTCTTGTGTATATAAGGTCTCAGTCTTGAAGAGAATATCTATACAAATGTCTCGAGAATAAGTAAGGAATTCTAGAGTTGCTTTTTGTGACCTAGAAGTGCTATATAACGTTCTGTGCACTCATTCTTTTGACTTGTTGTTGTCATATTAAATAAAGATTTATTTTACCTTGTTGTTTAACAAAGTCTCTTTTTTCAACTCGGTCAATTCACATTTTCAGTTTAACTTTATTACATTTCTCCTATTGGTTTCTCCTGTTATTTACAGTTACTGTCTGAAAGATCAATCAGTGAATCTGAGAATACCTTATAGTAAGGTAGTAGGGTGAAATTTGATACTGTGACCACGAAATTTGTTTTTGTAGAGTTTTTTGGATTTTTTGGAGGGATTACTTTTCTGTGTTCCTTTTTATTTTTGTATAACACTAGTTTGTACTTTAGTAAAAACTAGAAGTGAATTTTTCCAGAGAAAGGACTTCCATACAAGGGAAGGAGTTCAAAGTAGAGAGCAGATCATGTCCTAGACATAAGAATCTTGCCGATGGGGCAAAGAGCTATGGTTATTACTTCTATCCAACCATAAACTCAGGAAGGAAAAATACAACCCATAACTTCTAGAGCTGCTGAATAGGTTTTACCCTTTGGATAAAAAAGGCATGGATAATTGAGAGTCAAAAA